CACTCAAATTTTGTAAGTTGAAACATCTGGATGAACCCAGAAAAACCTGCAAGTGATGTTCTTACTGTACCTATTCCAATAGCCTCTGCTTTGAAAATCACTCTACATATAATACATTAGTCTCTGCACCTACCCACTAGTGTCTCTTCATCTCAGGCTCCTGGTTCTGGGTCCTGCTCAGCTCTGCTTTTGCTCGGTCACTATTGGGCTCCCAGGGTTTAAATCTATCTTACTGTCAGTGTATTTTGTTTGAATTCCAAAATTGTTCTCTCCCTCTAGTAAACTTACAGCAATGAGTAAAGATCCCATTAAGAAAGAACTGTTTGGGCTATAGAGAAATGCTGCCAACTACTGTAACAGGAAAACATTACAGCTCCCTTTTGCCCCCCAAATAACATTTTCTTGCTGTGTGTAAATAGCTACTCCAGTTCTGGGAGCAATAATCACAGCCCTCTCTTTCTGCAGAGGGAGTGTGCAGTCCTCCATCCAGGATGGAAGCTATTTCCACAAGGCATGTCCAGATGGCACCGGCCTCTGCCCAGGAGTGGGGGGAGCAGAGGACGAGGAGACCATCAGGGAGGAAGCTGAGGGGGAAGCTCTGAGGAAGTCAGTCCTGCAGGAGGATGGCATGACAGGAGCTAAAAAAGTGTTCCCCACCAGAATGGCACTCAAAGGGCTTTGTCTGAGCTCCCCTCTGCCTGGGGAGGGATCTTACCTTCTCCCTCTACTCCAAGCCCTGGAACCTGAAAGTGAGTCTGTCCATGCAGATATGTGCAGAAAGGCAGATGGGGTCTGGGGTCCAGACACCTGGGCTGTGTTTCATGTGATGCCACCTCATTTCTGTGGCTTGAAGCAAGGCCCCTTGCCTCTGCTGTCTCCTTGCCTAGGTTTATTGCATTTGCTGCCCTGTGTTTTCAGAGCGCCTAGTGAGCAACAGGTTCATTTTAGCTGGGGGTTCCATATACAGAGTAAAAAAACTGGAAACCAAGGAAAGTAACTGCGTTTATCAAACTACACTATAAAATGAAGAGCAGATAAATAGATCTCATAATCAGAAGTTAGTCCTCCAGATACAGTCTGGTTTTAGTTTGTTGTGAGTTTCGCCCATAGGACCTCTTTCCTCCCCAAAATGCACAGGTCTTGATCTTCCTGACTTTACTGATGTGTCAACCTGAAGTAATTTCAAAGCAGCTACTTGAGTTCCATTGGTACCAATCTACTTTGAGATGGCCTTATTAGGCTTTCCTTTGCTTCCTGCCCCACTGTTCATCAGCTGAGGGTTAGCTGGGAAACAGTGCTGGTGCTTAGAGCAAAAAATCAGGACAAGTGAAACCAATCCCAGCTCTCCCACTGACAAGAGATGAATCCCTGCCCCTTTGTTTTCAATTTGCCTATCTCTAGTGGAGTAATACTGATATCTCTTATGGCAGAGGCATGACTGCTGCTTGTTTATAGAACACTTTGAGATTGTCAAAGCACATCTCAGCAAAAGTACCAAGCGCTACTGGTGCTTCTAAAGTGTGTGATACATGTTCTAAACTAACCCTTTCTGACCTGATGCTTTGCACATCTGGTCTCCTATCACATCTCTACTATAAAATAATCTGTGTTTTTAAACAGATTTATTAAATATGCAATTTTAAAATAATAATAAGGCTTAAGGCTTTTGAAAGAACCTGTTTGGTTTTAAATTGCTGGCTATCACAGATTTGGGCTAATCTGCGTGACCATAAGTAGAGCTCATGGAAGACTCTCTGGACTTTCTATAGGTATGCACCATGTGTAGTGCAATACAGCCAGATCCTGAGTGCTTCTGAAGACCAAGAAGCTGTGTAAGGTCTTTTGTCAGAAAAACTACTCATGGATCATAACAACAGCATGAATGAGTGGGTTACATAACTGACAAGCTAGTCACATCTTGGTAGGCATAAAAACATTTATTTTCTTGTCACTGAGCAATATGACAATGGATTTATACCTGCTTCTTTCAAGTCTTGCTGCAAAAATGTGCTTTGTCTGTGGATGCTCTTCAGCAACAAAGGCACTTCTACTGTAGAAGGGTACATGGCTCTGTATTCTTACCAAAGGCTCTGACTCTGAGGCTGCATGTTGCCGCTGTCAGCAACAGAACTTGTTTAAAGTATAATCATCTCCCCTCATAGCCCAGGCTGTGCATCCACACATACTGCTGAACCCAGCCAACCTCCACCACCCTCTTTCTCCTCTGCATCACTTCAGCAAAGCAACAGGATCTCCACCACAAAGCAGGTCAACTGGTCAAGTGCAGCATGGGTGCACTGGAGCAGGTCCTCAGCACTGTCTCCTCTTCAGCATCACAGGGTGCTCTGCAGTGTGCACTGCTCTTCATGACTGACACGGCAGAGGCAGGGAACCTGTCTCGGGCATAGGGTCTGACTCCCCATCTCTCACAGACATGATTTTACTTACATTAGATCTTTTTGACATCTAGAAAATGTATATCATGTTCCTAGCAGACACTGCTGAAGGAGGAAATGCCTTATCTGGCCTTGCACCATGCAACACCAGAGCCACAGTCATCTGCATCACGCTGAGATGCGCATGTTCTCTGCTCATCCAGAACTGCTCCACGTTGCCTGCGCACATTACAGCTCAGCATCTCCAGGGAACACTGTTTGCTGCTACATTTGCACACCAGCCAGTGCTTTGCTTTCTGGTCTGTGAATGGTGTATCCAGAAATTGGCTGCTATGCTGGTACGCTTCAGAGAGGATAATGCTGTCCTTTTCCCTGCAGTTCATTGTTTACCAGAGGTGCCTAATTTCTGACAAACAAAAGAGATGGATTCTGAGCAATTTAGCAATAGTCAAGAGCAGGATGAGCAGGATGGCTTTACAATATGTGTGTAGAGCTCAACAGAGACCTGCAGTACTGGGCAGCTTGCTGACACTGGGCCCTTACACGGCTGTGTATCAGCCACATTGCTGATAACAGCAACAAACCCTGTCTGCCCTGCAAATAGCAGTCAGACACCATAGAAACCTCCATACCAGCAACAGAAGAACTGAATGGGAAGCCTATGACATTAAATACATGAAAGGGAAGCCTTGGGACTATGAGAATGAATTGAGTACGTTCAGAATGGGTACTCCTCAGGGGACTATTTAAAAATCGCAAGTTTTGCTTAATTGCATAGTGCTGTCAAAGTCAACAGAGACATCAAAAGTTTGTGTAGATGAAGTTTAGTTGGGTACAGAAGAGCAGAACAAGACAAGGATATCTGCCCCTTGATGCATATATCCTTCAGAGACCTTTGGTGGTTTCTTTTGCCACTTGATGGGCTTGTTTCTGACACAAAATCATGAGTGGAGCTGTATGACTGAGGCAAGACTGTAATACCAGGTGCAGCTAGGATGTCTGTGGCAGGGTTTCATGCCAGAGCCATAAGACATGATGTGCTCCCTACCTGCAGAACAGCCCCAGGTGCTCTTGCTCCAGGACACAGGTGGAGAACCCATCAGGGTTGTCTATCACTCAGCTGAGGAATACAGAGCTCAGATACACAGAGAGCTCAGGAATGACAACTGTGCTGCACTGCAGGTGCCTGAGGTACAGACTGGGCTGCTATTACTTATCACAGCAAATAAAGCATCCTAGCCTTACCTCCATCCCACTGCATACTTCCTTCCCTCCACTATCCTCCTCTGGTCCTGTTCTGTGGTGTCCCCCATCCCTACCGCCTTACAAAGAGCCGCCCTCAGCCCCCCACACCTATGGACATGGCTGTCAGCATCACACAGAGGAATGGTGGCAAGAAAGGAAGAGACTTCAATAAGGCAAATATTCTGCATCTTTTATCCCTCTCATTACTGCTGGGACATAAGCTAAACTGTTTAGCTAATTCCTCTTAGTCCTAGATACAGGGTACATGAAGGCATAGCCAGAACACAGCAGAGAAACCTCTGATATATAGTATGACTGGCATAGTGCTAGTTGTGTGGGCAGAGTTCATTGAGCAAATGTAGATGTTTAAACCGTAGGTGTCCATTTGTGAGTTAGTCACCTTAGGACGCTGCTTGAAGTCAGAGAGAAACAGACGCTTTTGGCATATGACAGAAATTTATGCTCAGTTGAGCTAAATTGTACCTTGTAAGCTCCTGCTGTTCCCTGCTGACAATACAGGGAGTCAGGCATGACTAGCTCACAGGTAAATGTCTGTATGACACACGTCAAATAACAGGCGAGATAAATCACATTTTGTATGGCTTTGTTTTGACACAGGGATGTTACATGCTACAGGGCTGCTAGGAGGGGGCTTCATATAGTGTGTGGTGGGGCACGCTCTGGCACGTAACCACACAGACCAGGGAGCTAGATTCAGAGGAGGAACAGAGATGCAGTGATAGACACAGCAAATCCCTTTGGGAACATGGCTGCTGAAGCAACCATGACTTCATTAGACTTGCTCAAGATGCCCTCTAGCCTAGACCTTTCACCTCATTTAATGGTTTCTTGGCCTCAATCCCTTATAATTCTGAAAGGAAAAAAAAAAAGATCTCTTTGACTCCTGTTTTCAAGCCAGGGCTGTTTGATTTGGAACGCTGCATTGAAGTCTGTGCTACTGATTGATTTCAGGTTTATTATATTTTCCCCTTTGAAACATGCTACAGTAGAAAAAAAATCTGTACACTTCGTCGTTTTTCATGTAACCCCCCCTTCCCGTCTCTTCTTTTTTTTTTTTTTTCCAATCTTAGCAAATGCTCAGTCTTTTCCACTTCAATAGCCTGAAATTCTCCCCTGGGAGCCCTAAGCTCTTTAAATATTTTTAGGTTGCCAGATTTCTTATGTTCTCTCTCCAGGAAGCCAATTTTGTTTCTAAGTTCTTGAGAGTAGTCCAGCTTCATCTTTTGCGCACTCACTGCATCACAATAAAATGCTGCCTAATTGCTGCCTCAGCTGAGTCCCAAAGGTGCTGGAGTTTGTCTCTAGGCTACAGTTGTGGACAATAAACTCTTCTCAGACTGGAGTTAAGCCTTTTTATTATTTAAATCTGAGTCATGTAAAATTAGTTTACTAGCAAGTAACCCACAAAGATTGAGTATGGAAAGAAACTCCCACATATTGTTTTCCAACACAATGAGAGAATGATCAGATACAAAGATTTCCAAGCAGCTTGTAATACAAGATGTAATTGAAAGACCAACATTTAATTCAGTCAGAAAGACATGAGAATGTTTCTGTGAGCCTACGAGTTCCTCTCAGACCTCGGCTGTTTGGTGTTCTTTAGATTCAAATTAAACCTGGTGGTACGAAAACCTCTCTTTTGTCCTCTAGCTTATCCATAACCTGAAATACCTACGAAAGAGGAAAGGCAGCTGTAGATAACAAATGCCAGATGAGCAAGAGCCTTCTATTCTCAGTCTAGCTCCACAGCCAGAGGACTTGATGAGCATTTTACTAGAAAATCATCAAGAATATACTAAGACTGGGTGGTTGCATGTCCATCAGGCTTGAGAAGACCCCTGCAGCAAGAGACAAATGGACAATACAAAGAGTGAGAATGAACAAATCCTCTTTTTCTCACCAGGACCACGTTCACCCATCCTCAAGAGCAGGAGAAGACATTCATACACTGCACACACAGGGATTTTCTCCCTTTGTGTTCCTTTTTAAAATCTGTATTTTAAAGTGCTTATTTTTCTGTTGTAAAATATGGCTTCTGATAATAGTGCATACTCAACTGACATTATAGTAGAAAGCCTTATTGATAATTTTTTGAGACTCTAATTCTTTAAGACAACACTTCCTTTTGGTGTTGAGTGCCCAAATCCACAGTCCCAATTAAGCACAAAGGAAGCTGGAACAGAATTCCAGATCTTCTCAAATCAGTTAGTGTCCTTTAATTAGAAAGGTCAGACATGACAGCAGAGACCTGCCACAGCCCTTGTGGTGGTGTTGGCAGCACACCTGCAACCTGGGACACTCGTGGGTGAGGAGAGCACATGTCCATGTCCAGGCAAGCCGATACAAACGGCTCTTCATACATCTCCTTTTGCCAGCACAAAGCACATGCATTAATAGGCAGATGGATTCATCTGCAGTAACTGCAAGGAGATTGTTAACCACACACCATTCCCTCACTGTGCTGAGACTCCTCCTGTTGCTGGAGTTCCTCATTCCTCATTTGGATTTGTCTTGATCTCTTCCTGAGAATGTAATGGCAGACACGTTGTGGACTGCAGGACCTTCATCGCTCATGGTGATGCACAAGACAGGAAGGATGCACAGGTCTGAAGTCGATTTTGGCAGGCAGCAGTTAGAAAAGCTAGGACGCATTTTCAGCCTCATTCAGATCAATGGGAATTCTGCCACTGATGTCAGTGGGATGAAGACTTTCCTCCACATGTCTGCCTGTAATCTGAGAACATGTATTCTGCAAGTGCTGGAGACTCAGTGAAAGCAGGACCCCACAGAGTTCATCTTAGATTCATTGTTTGAAATAAAACTGCGTGGATTCTTTGTGCCCTTTTTAGTTATCTGTAAAACAAGTATGATAATGCTTTGAGTGCTAAACAATACAAGGTGTGTAGGAAGACACAGTACCTTTTATTAGGGTAACTGAAATAGTTGGGGGAAACCAGACAAGCTTTCAGGCTTGTCTGAATGCTTTGAGATGGCCTGATGAAAGGTGTTCGAGCTGTGCAAGGGATCATTAAATTACATTCTTCCTCTCTCTGGAAATCATTTAGTGATATTTCAAAGGAAAGATGCTGTAAGGAAATAACTGATTTCTATTGCAAGTGCTGTCTGGAGCTAAGTATCTTACTTCCTTTTTCTTTATGAACTAATCTAAAGAAAAATATGTTTTAAATTAACATTAAGAAAAATTTTATGGTATAATATATAGTGCTGTGAAATATTCTGTGCAAGGAGTAACTCACAAGATCCTTAAGCATATTTCAGTACACACAAACAAAATGGCTGGATTTATGTTTAATGCATTGTGGAAATTATGAAAGTACCACTGTAAAGAAATTAGAAAGCATGGAAGTTCTGTGAAAACAGCAAGTGAAAAAAAAACCACCCCAAAACCCCACTTCCTGACAAGCCCCTACGTTTTCACTATTGTGGGCATCATGCCTTTGAAAGCTGTGAACCAGTGTCCATAAAGGAGTGACAGAAACAACCAAACACTTAACTCCCTCTTCTCCCCCATTTACCAAGAAGGACAGAATGAACCCGGGAAGTGTTCACGTGAGCTTAGCCAGGAGTAACAGCATTATGGCATTGCAACTGTGAGCGCACCAAGATATATCAGTGCCAGCAGGGAGTCAGTGGACCACTGAGGTCACTGAGGACCATGAAGGGGTAGGTGAGGGAAAGTTTAAATCCTACTAAGTATCACTTTACTAGTACTTAAATTCCCTGTCAAGACACAAATGGTGTCACCAACAGAGAAAACTGGGAGAGGAATCTTTAAGTATGTGAAAAGTAGTTGCAAAGAAGGATGAAATAAATTGTGTCTTTTAGAGCAACAAGCAATGGGGATAAATTGCAGCAAAAGAGATTTACACTAAACCACTGGACAGCTCTCCAGGATTAAGCAAAAATAAGCATTGGTATAGGCTGCCTAGAGAAATGGGGAAACTTTCATCACTGGAACATGTCAAATATGGCTTAAATAAACATCATCAGAAGCCTCACTACTGATGGTTGTCTACCGAAGTGGAGAATAGACTTGGAGATTCATCTGAGAAAGGTTACAACATGTGACCAGGTTTTCCTGGATGTATTCTCTTTTTCTCCCCTTGTAAGATGTTGTTGAAGATTTTGTGTTTGTGTAAGATTTTGAGATGCACTGCTCTGAAAACATTTGTGTAAGACCAGAGGGGCCATTTATCTTCTGAAGTGCCTGTTCCTCTCCACTGATCACAGATGCAGTCACAGATGACTGGCCTGGTGCAGACACCTACTTACTGAATTGGTAAAGTCAGATGAGACAATTGCCATCCTTAATGACAAATTGTGTCCTTTCCAATATATTCCTAGATATAACACTCAAATCTCCATTATTCATTCCAACTGTAATTACTTGTGTAGGTATGAGGTGGCACCCATAATACAGAATCACAATGTTATTTATTGTCCTGTGTTAGTAATTTTATCACATTATACTTAGATACCATATGGTGTGATGAAAAATGCAATGGTTTCCTATGCAGTGGATAGAAAGCTTCTAAACAACAATTAATGTAATCTATTCCAGTTCTGCATTCCATTCCTACTGAGACTATTACTGAAGTGGATGGTATCTCAGGAAGGAAAACTTATTTTTAGATCTAAGAGCTATCCAAAGCTCTGCTGAGTTGCAGGTACAGGTACTAACTAGGAATGGAAGCAGCTTTATTTCAGCCGTATGTATGAAACACTAAGGTGCTTCTGATAGACGGTATTAACCACTTCTGTTTTCAAAGTCTGTATACAGTTAACATACATACACAGATAATCTGTATGATTCTATATGTTTATACAGTACGCATCCCAGCACAGGACTAAATCTAAGCACTTAAGAGATGTCTGCACTATGTCCTGCACTGAAGTCTAAGAAAAGAGCCTGGGCACCCAACTGTTCCCTCTGCTTAACTCTTAGCTTTTTCCTTGGGGACCTGTTTATTTACATTCCACGCATTCAAGACAAGGCATGGATCTTGGGCAGCTAACTCTCGGGATCCCCCCCTCAAATGGCAGTAGAAGGGAGCCCAGAATACAAACAGCACAGAATCACCTTCCCCACCTTGAGAAAAAACCTCTTGAATATTACTCTCCTGAGCTTTTAAAATACTATTTTTTAATAAACTTTGTTCTTCTTTTATAACTTGTAATTAAGGAAACCCCAATCTTGTATCTTCTTCTGCACAGGTACCCTCATTAAACATGCATTTATCCACTGTAAAAGGATGTGAAAAGTTATACTGGTTTTGGCTGGGATAGTCAATTTTCTTCACAGTAGCTGGGTATGGGGCTGTGGTTTAGATTTGTGCTGGAAACACTGCTTGTAATTCAGGGGTGTTTTAGGTACTGCTGAGCAGCTCTTACACAGAGCTAAGGCCTTTTCTGCTTCTCAGACCACCCCACCAGTGAGTGAGCTGGGGGTGCACAAGGAGCTGGGACTGCACACAGCCAGGAGAGCTGACCCTAACTGACCAAAGTAATATCCCAGACTATATGGTGCCATGCTCAACATGTAAACCTGGGGGAAGAAGGAAAGGAGGGACATTTGGAATGTTGGAGTTTGTCTTCCTAAGTAATCACTACATATGACGGAGCCCTGCTGTCTTGGAAATGGCTGAACGCTTGCCAGCAGGTGAGAAGTGAATGAATTCCTTGGTTTGCTTCGCTTGTGTGCAGCTTTTGCATTACTTATTAAGCTGTCTTTATCCCAACCCACAAGTTTTTTCACTTTTAGTGTTCCAATTCTGCCCCCCCTCCTCATTCCACTGGGCGGGGAGTGAGCAAGTGAGCAAGCGGCTGTGTTGGGCTGAACTGTCTACTGGGGTTAAACCACAACAGCTTCATTTTGTAACTTCATTACATTTAGAAGTGCATGAAAAATTAAAACAATACTTCCAGACTCTTTTTTTTTTTTCTCTGTTAAGGTGATACAAAAAATATTTGAATGAGGAAATGCACACACGAAGAGACCAGCATATATAGGTTTAGCTTCAGCAAAGCATACAGAAACTTAGCTTCAGCTATGCTTCCTTGTGGCTTTTAGCTTCTTCCTTACTTGACTCCTTAGGAACATTCTCACTTTCATGGAGAAGACCAGAAAGAGGTGAGTACTTCAGCTAATAAAAGCAATTAGCCAGGGCGAGCTATGGAAGGCCACAGATAAATATAATTAATCTCTTCACAGGTTATTACAACTTTAAAAAGCAGCAGAAGATGCCATGCAAAAATTAATAACTATTAAAACTATTAACAGTTCTCTCACCTCATTGGGTTTGTGGCCATCATTCCTAATACATGCCTGTTTTAAAAGAATACTGTATTAAATCAGGACAGTTAATTCTGTAACAACATGAAATAACTGCCAGAGACTGGGAAAGTATCCTAAAGGTGCTCAATAGGGACATCAAGTCTCTTCTAACTAGAAGGACTTCCAATAATCAGAAAATTAAGCTTTAGTCACATGCATGCAGCTGACCCTGGGCGGTTTTAGAAGTTCGTACACAAGGCAATGAACCTAGCTTGTAGTTGGCAGTGCTCTTTGTACAAGGAGGAGCCACACAGCCTGTGGGTGCGATTCAGCTGAACAGATGTAGATCTCTGAGTATTTCATAGAGGTCATATGAAACATCATTTAATAGGCCAGATTTTCCACTGATTTTGAAAAGAATCTAAGGCAACTAGCTTGTGTGCAGATGTCTGCACTGTAAACTTCTTAAGCTATTCAAACTCAATTGCAGTTGCTCTGTGTTAGTGGCAACACCATGCCTATTTATAGGCTTACTGATAAAAGTCTAGCATACCTTCCCATGGTACTTTAATAAATACTATAAACTATTTTGTTTAGATTATGACCATTTTTACATGGATAACAGATGTAAGATTATCTCATTCTTACAGTGATGCAAATGATAGTAAACTTCCATATTGTGAAACTGTAGTGGGATAAAAATCATGTACTTAAACAGAACAATTCTTAGATATGAGACTCAGCCTCCTAAACTTAGATCCCAAAGTTAAATACATGCATTTCTTGGTGGCACACTTTGCAAATAGGTCCCTGAGTTCAACGGCTTATTTCTGTCTCTTGCTAAAGCTGATCACTTCCTCAGATATGCAGGTTTAACTGTTTACAAGGTCATGTGATAAACAAGATAGAGGCATGACCTGGTTAAAAGTTACACCTTCTTTTGCAGGGTTCTTTTTAACCCAGATGATTTCACCAGCCTAATTGACAGTGCCACCACATCAACAGCTGTACTGGCACAAGCAACAGATATGTAAAAGCAGAGGGCAAGAACAAGTGTTGAGGGGTGGAGATCTATTAAGTCAGTTTTGTTGCCAAGGAAAAGATGCAAAGAATAGCACAGAACAGCATTCAAAGCTGAAGAGGCTCCTCCAGATGATAATTCAGAGCAGAAGCCTAACTAACAGTCTGAATTGCTCTCTGGAGAAGCCTCTCTCACTCCTTCAACTATGCAAGGCATCTAGGGAGACAAGCCTCCTAATTTAGGCATCTAAGCTACATGTTTAAACGTAGGCAGTGAATATTCCCCCAAGAATGTGAATGGGATGTTATAACAATTTAAAATATGTTTAACCGAAGCTGTGATACCAATGTCTGTGCTTTTATAAGATACTGTTCGTTATGCCACTGATCCTCCACTGACACAATCATGTTTCTGATTTATTAGATAAATGAACAACATTAACAAAACACACACTGTCCAAATACAGTCCAAATTTCGAAGCTAAAAAAAGATTTCCAATCTTACTCTCAAAATATAAACCAGATTAAGTTGTTCACATGGAAACCACTGCATGTTCCCTATAGTAATCACATTAGGGGACCAGAAAGGGAAAAGAGATTCTTCACAATGCTCATCATGTATTTAAATTCCTTGTTCTCCTTAAAACTTTTTTTTTTTTTTAATTTTTCAATTAGGAACTTTGGCTTAACTTTAATCTATAATTACATGTTGTCATTTACAGTGGGACAGACATTTACATACATTGCTTTACCTCCTCAGAACTTCTTACATACTCAGTGATGGGGGTTTAAACAGTTATTGAGATCTAACAGTTGTTCTTCCAATGCAGACGCATGGTCTCTTGGTGGGCTTACCTCCTGCCCTGCAGAATCTTAATACTTAGGCACACACCAGAACACCAGTTTTCAGCACATCTTTTTCCAACATAACCACCTTCACTGCCATTGATCACAGCACTAATCAAAGGACTGTGTGAGACAGTCCTGGAAAGGATTACCAATAAGTTAAAGAATGCTCTTTAAATGTAGCTATCTTCTGTTCTGGATGAATGTATTTACAGGACAAGATGTTAAAGCCAATTAATCTTCTAATATCTCACACTACAGAACTGGAACTAACATGTCTAAAAAATAAAAAAACCACTGGGCAACCCATTACTATGTATCAGACTGTGCTTTTTCTAGTGGTTTGGGCATCTAATCAGTGTGTGCAAAGAGTTGCCCAACAGCTCCCTCATTTGAAACTGCCACTTTTAAGTCAGAAAAGTATCTACAGGGAAAGCAGAATAATATGTACCAGCATGACTGAATTAATGGCTGAGTCTGAGTTAACAGGCTTAGCTGATGCATCTGTTTGGTTCAAGCTATCAAAGTGTAGTATCCTATGTTTTTGTATCAATTTCCAGTTAACCCTCATCACTTCAATAAAACAGCTGCCTACAGGTCAGACATGGTATTGCAACTGTGCATAGCACCAAGTATGGAGCTGACAAGTCATGCCCAGCCTGGGCAGCTTGTTGCGATGAAATCTTTACCAGATAAGTTGTGTGTACCTTTGTACTTGGCAGGGCCAACAGCTGAGTCCATCTTTTCTACAATGCTACTTACTACAAAAGTAAAAGGAATTCAGTTACCATTAAGACCTCCACTCTTTTGCAAATGTAGTTGAAATTGACCAATGAGGTTCAAAATTACTGCAGTGAGACAGACAGCATGCCAACTGCAGAAGTGTCAAATCTTTGGCAAACCACCCTAAAATTCACATGAAAGAGTTATATTGCAAAATGTTCTTTTCATGCTTAACAGTGCATTACAGCAGATTTCCTCTCGGTTGACAACCCCAGCAGGCAGATAAAGGGAATTTTGCCACTTGATACTATCTAGTGGTGTGCCACAGGACTGAGATGATGTGAATAAACTCTTCTTTCCCTGTTCCATTTTCACTTACCATTTGCTGACACACAGCTCCCTAGGCCTGACTACTTTCCCCAAAGTTTCTGTCCAAGTCTCCCTCTCTCTCTGTTTTGACCACTATAAGCTACTTTCTTATTCCTTCTCCAAACAGTAATGCTCCAACATATACAATATGCTTCTGCATGTTAAGTATAAACAGAGAAGAAACACAATAACATAGCTGCCATTAATTCTTCTAATCTGTGTCCACAGACTCAAAGCAGAACTGCTGTGTTTTTCAACCTACCATGGGTTTACTCAAAGATCTATCTTCTCTTCTAGCTGTATTTTAAATTAATCCAGCACTGGCTTGTTCATCATTATTTTAATCAACCTAGTCATAACTGTCATGACAGTTTTATCTCTGGCTCTAGCAATACAACAAACACATCAGCTGGGACTCCTCTCACCTACCTTTAGGCATCTGCTGTGCCAACCCCTACATTTATGCTTATCACCTAGATCTGCTATAAACTCGGAAAAAATTAAAACACATTCATGGCACAGTCAACCTTGGTCAAGTGGGAATTGCATCCCTGAAGTACCTGTCTCTCTCTACCATGAAAAAACATAGAGGAAAGTTAACTCAGAGGCAAGGGTCTACAAGACAGATGTCTACATTTGACCAGATAAATACAAACACCTGTGTCCACTCCTACTCTCACTTTCTGGCTTAACTAAAATCTCATTTGAGCATCAGTCACTTTCCCTTGAACAATTCACAGCAATTTGAAATGTACCTTGCATGAAAGATGTTGACTAAATCCTCCTGTGTTGCCATTCCATCACAGTTTCTCAAGGTTCAGACTCTGAGATTCTTTCCTAGGAGAGAAGTTGGTGGATGTGTCATATTGATATATATCATACCATAAAAATACCTATGCAGAAGAAAACTCCTGTATGTGTACGAAAATTAACAGTGTGTGTCTACTGATGCCTTTACTGAGTTGTGCATAACTTCCCTTTGAAGCTTAATGACCATGAATATGTAATGCACAACTTATTTTCCCTATTGCTTCCCTATTGCTTTTCACCTTCCATTGTTACATTTCTGAACCTTTGGTAGAGTTAGGTTTGCATGTGAACATTAAAGATTATTATGAAAGCATGATAATTCCTGTAGTCTAGATAAATAAAATTGCAAGGGGAAGGGAAGACAAAAGGGCAGTTCATAACTCACAGACATCTCCTATGTTTTCAACCTTCTCCTGCAGAACTCTGTGTGTGGGAGGAGGTTACAAATGAAGCTCTACTAAAAGCCTGTGCCAGCCATCTGAGTTAGACACAGTCTATAGAATTTATGTAATGATAACCAAATCAATTCAGAACCAGTTTTATTAATCTGACACAGACCCTAAGAGTGGAAGCTTTAAACTTATCTGACAGTGTCTGCTATTACTTTAGATGAAGAGACACTTTTGAACCAAATCAAATGTTCATGGCAGAAGAGTTACATTAATTTATATCAGCTCCTGATTGAACTGACTAGAATAAATCAGAGAGAGGGCACACAATCAGCTCTGCTGGCAGATTTGCAGACTGCTGGAAAGGGGCATAATTCTCTGCAGTTTGGCTGTGAGTAATGCTCTCCTCCACCAACACAGCTGGAGACCGCCTAACCACAACCACTGACACCCACCAGCATCCTCAGCCAGAACTGATAGGTTTATAGCTTCTATCAAAAAATAAAAAGATATAAGTTGTGAGGATATACTCATAGCAGAACAAGCTTCAGTGGCTTAAGGTCTCACACCCCCTCCCAGCAATTTTTTACCTTCTCTTTGCCTGAGACTACTGCCTCACAGCAGAGCTGGTGAACAAACCACATGCACTAGTCCCAGCTGCTTCAATACAAATTAGCTTAGACTGCTGATAAAGATAACTTTAATGTATTAAAATAGATTAAAAACATTAGTGTCTTCCAATCCAGCGACTGCTGTGGAGGCAGAAACCTTCAGTAAGGAGGCAGAAAAAATGGTGAGGGAATCAGTATTTTTTGCACAACTCGAGCCAGATTTGCTAGAGTTTGTGACAACAGGAAAGCCTATGAAATGTCACACAGCTACCATTCTTTTGCCATATATATTAAAAGTTTATGAACTTCTGATTGTCTGTCTGGACTAGACCTTTGGAAATCTCCTCCAACTTGAATTACCCTGATCCTAGCATCAGGGCTAGGAACGTGGAGATGTGGTTTTCTTGCTGTACACCCAGTCACTTTGCAGACCTTGGCAAACTGTGTAGACCAATACTAACTGGATTTACCCCTAAGAGGTCCAACCAGGGTGACACTAGTATTGCTCTGGTGTTGAGCAACTACTTTTCAAGGGAGGTCACTGGTAGTATGGGTACCCTCTGCCACCAGGAAGCAGCCCCGCTTGAATCAAGCATTATTAAGAAAAGCGATGCGGAAAACTAATCACCAAAGAAGCAAACAGGGATTAAGACTAAACCAACCTTCTCTGTGTCACAGTTTCCTATGGGAAATACAACCCTCAGACAAAGCAGTTAATGTGTAGCCTAATGTGATAAGAGGTATATAGTCTTGTGGGAAGGGATATTATGGCAGTGCTGGGAACAGGCTGCTTATCATGTGCTCTCCCCAAAAAGCATTGAGCTCTCTAAGGTCTGCACTGTGTCTGTGCTTTTGGGTATGTGAGAAACCAGCAGGAATTGATGTCATGGGCAGGCAAGTTCGAAGAAATCTGGAAAGAGGGAAGCCAGAGTCACAGCTGTTATGAATTCATCAAGATTTTGGCTCCAGTTCTAAAATACTCACAAAGGCATAAGAATCTCCACATGATTTTGAGGGAAGCAAGATCTGTAGATACACGGGTGACACATTCACACATGCTGTATTGTTTAAGAGGCATACTGAGCTTTTAGTTTCAATCCTTGCTCTTTCACTTGAGTTAGTTAACATTTCCGAGAACCTTACTGTGAGACACAACCTCATGCTGTTACCTTAAGGTAACTAAAATCGGTATTTTCTGGAGAAATCACGTGTCATTATCGGGAGCGATCACAAGGTCATTATCTGTGGGACCCTGAGAGCTGTCACAAGGCAGTTCCACCAGCAAGGACTCACTGCAGTGGAGCTGCTGCACGCACAAACACAGCTCAGATGATCTCAATGGGCTGCTCCTGCCTCTGCGCTTCCTCTGCCTTTGTGCCTGCAGCAGCTCTGCAGGGTCAGCTAGTTCAGGAACGTGATCCAGCTGAACTCTGGTAATTTTCTGGAGAGGCATGACTGGCTTTCCACCGGATCAGATCCCAGGCTTGCCCCGCCATACGGCAACATAAGAGTTATTGCGGTGTAAATAGCAACCCGAAAGCACAACCATGAGCAGAGAGGAAGGCAGGAGTGCCCCTTCTGGTGCCAATACAGAGGCTGGCTTGCATCAGCTGTGAAACGACATTCTCAGAGAGGTTTATAACCGCACAGCTCTGCTCGCAGGAGACCAGATTGTTCCTATTAATTGTGAGATGCACACTTCAGAAATGCTACATTCACCCTCAGCAGAAGACCCAGAGCGGGTACCGCTGCCCTGTGAGGCTGGCTGCCTGTGATCACCAGCTATCACTACTCCAAGGAACAGGCACATCCCCAAACCTGTTCCCTTACCTTTCTATAAAAGCAATGAAACCCTTCAACAAAGATGGTGCATGGCTCCCTTCTGCGTACCCTTGCAGGACAAATGCACGTTTCACCTTTCCTAGCCACTCCCTCAGCCGAAGTGGGAACAGACGAGGTTTGTACTGCTGAGGAAGCGTGTTCATCCCCTGCAACCTGGCTACGGACGAAGCCGAGTACGCAGAGCACCGGATCAGACGCACACCCAGCGCCCACACCCGGTGCCGTTCTGCTGTGGCACCCGCACCCTTTCCCCTCCTGAAGCGCCGCTTCAGCTGCCCTGCTGCCGCAGCGGGGGGGGGGAATGGAGGCTCTCTGCGGGCCTCAGCCGGAGCGGTTCACGCACGGATCACCCAAGGGCGGCCAAAACGCTGCCCTAGCGGGGCGCGGCGGGATGCTCCTTTGTTTCTGGCTCTCCGGAAAAGCCCCACCCTTCCCCCTGCCAGAGCACGGCCGCGGGCGCGTCAGAGGCCGGAGCGGGCCGAACATCGCCTGCGGGCCCGGCGGCCTGCAGCAGGGGCGGGGTAGCGGTAGCGGGATGCCGTCCCCTCCCCGCGCCCCGCCGCCGCCATGGCAACCACCCGTCGCCGCCGCCTTCCCCGCCCGTCCTCGTCCCCTCTCTCCCCGGTGCCTCTTTCCCCCCTCCGCGGTCTGACAGAGCAGAAGCGCTGCGCCCCCTCCCCGCGCCGCTCCCGTCCGCGGACACGCACCCCGGCTCTCCCAGGTAACGGCAGGGCCCGGCTACAGAGCGGCCCCTCACGGCACTACCCGGGGCGGGCGCAGCTCGGACCCCGGCCCAACAGCCACCCTCCCATCCCGCCGCGCTGAGGGAGGCGGCGGCGGGAAGAATGGGAGGTGGGGGGGTAGCAGAGGGAGAGGCTGGCAGAGGGCAGCGGCCCCCTGCCGCGGAGCCTGCTGGGAAATGTAGTCCGCGCCCTCCTGCCGGAGTTGGGGGCTGAGGGGAGAGGTGGAGGGTGGGAACTACAAACCCCAGCGTGATAGGCCGGCGGGGTGAGGAGATGGGTGCTGCGGTGTGCCCCCGCGGAGGAGGCTATGGTGAGGAGAGGGGCTCGATCTGAGCCAGCGCGCTGGGCGCTGAGGTGACTCGTCTCTTAAGAGTCGCTGCTGAGGGGATGATGGTCCCGGGGATCAAGGGTGCACCCTCAGCGCTGCCGGGAAGGGCAGTGTGGAAAGGGTGCACGGTGCCTGGGGGAGCGGGATGCCGGGGGACGGCCGGAGAGGGCGGACTGTGCCGCCCAGGGAGCGGGGTGCGGCAGGCCGGGCTCGGGGACGCGGGCTGGGGGGAGGGTTGTGCCGGGGGATGGGCGGCTGCAGAGGGAGAGGTGTGATGCTAGTGATGCTGTAGCATCAGGTTTTAGCAGGATGAGGGAATGCAGGGGTGGACGGGAGGAAGGTGGGCGGGTGGGCGCAGTCGGGAGGTGCGCTGAGGGGAGGGTCCATTGGGTGGTTTGTGTCAGCAAGTGGGGACTGCTGAAGGTTGAGGGAAGAGCACGAGGGGCACGTAGTAACATCGGTGAATGGATGAAAGGGGAGAGATCTGCTGGAGGAGGAGTGGCGGAGCAGATGCGAGGGGAGGGCTGTGCAGAGGGCAGGGTAGGCTGGAGGCTGCGCGAGTGGATAGGGGGGAAGCAACGGCCAAAGAGACCCAGGAGCTAGTGGCCCTGGAAAGTTTCCTCAACCAGTTCACTTTATAGTTGTCCAACCACGCTTCGGCTGTGTTGAGATTGCTGTACTAGGTCACCTTTACATGGTGTGACACAGTGTTACTTCTTAAAATAATTCTGCTTCATTTCTATTGTGCCCACATTTCTGCCATGATGACAGTGTTTGCATTTGTCTCTTCCCATTTACTCTGATGACAGTTCTAGTGTTATCCTTTATCTTGTATTCTCCAACAGGCATGAAGTTCCTTTCCCATATCATATGTAAAATACACGTTTATGACTAGTTTATTAAAGGGAGTTATTTTTCATTTCTGAAAATCTGGATCTTAAAAGCATCAGTGCATTAGCACTCCCTTGCATGGGAATACTGAATGGCTATTCCTAATACAGTTTTAAATGTTACAGAGATGGATTTCATTGCAGTGGATGTTGATTTTTATTGCAATTGAACGTTTCTCACCCCATGGCAGATACATACTAGGGCAGGCTTAGGCTTCTTGCAGCTTCTGGTCCTTGCCAGACTGTGGAAGTGAGTATCTGCTGCAGCATGCTTCCAGGGTTCTTTTGTCTTGGAGACAAGGAGTTTTGAGCAGGTAACAGAGTGAATCCTCTCCTGAGCTAATCACTATCTCAAGACAGAAAAGTAAATGGAAGCCAAGGAAACAATAGTAGTCTTTTTCTGATTTTCTGTGTAAATAATTGCAAAAAAAACCAAACCCCAAACCCAACCAAAACGCAACAACACTGATTCTTCTGGGAATGAGCTGAGAAATGTAAAGACTGATGTCTGTAGCACTAACAGCAATATGCATGTAAGCATATATTTTAAATAATATATACTTAGAACAATTTTAAAAAGCAAAATTCTAATTAAAAAATACACATTCATAGCCCTAAAGTGCCAGTTCCTTGGAATTCAGAGGGGAATTCAGAAGGTGGAAAAGTATTCAGGCCTAAATTCTGACCTTATGAGTCAGGGTTATAAACATGTGTGAGTCTATTAAACCTGCAATTATTCATGGGAAGTTTATCTGGGTTGCAGATTGGCTGCTCTAGGAATGTAGCAGCACCAGAACTGAATCTTTGTGGAGCTGCCTATGGTCTGGCAGGGCTCATGAGCTGCAGCGCTATGGGAACGTGGATATGCTGTATCCAGGGCCAGGTGCAGAAGCAGTTTAACTGCCTTTCTTGGCACAGAGCCCGACCTAATAAACACTTTGAACCCAAGCTGGCTCTGCACAGACCCATCTTGTGAGTCTTTGGTGGCATGTTTGCTCTACTACAAGTACTTACACACGTGATGTGCAGAAAAGCAAGTGGCTCCACAAAGTGGCCAGAGGGATTATTGTCTTGGGCCGAGTTCCACTTTGTTGAGCTCTGTATGGGTCCTGCATAATCCTTCAGCTATCAGAGTCCTGCGTCCTGTCAGATGAGGAGGGGTTGGTCACCTCAGGTCTGGTGCCACCTGAATGCTGGCTTCTGGTTGGGGTGGTACTAATGCCAGGAGTCCTGAGAATGTGCTGGAGAGAAGAGAGAGGTGTGGAGCCAGCCTGGGTCCAGCAGGGGTAAGATGGAGAAGGAGCTAGCAAGCCTCTTTCTGCCTGAACCATTGTGTGCATGCAGTTGCACTTCCTAGAGTGCCCCACAGTGTGTTAGCTGTTTTAGTTTCTGTTACCCAGCCTAGCTGATGGACAGCTCATTACCCTGAATAATGGGTGATGTGACCATATGGATATGCCTGAAGTTGGTACACAAGGTGCTCTGAAGAAGGATGCATTTTGCAGTCAGTTTTAGGAATAGCACAACCATCTCTGATTCTCCTCTTTCTAGTTCTTCAGAAAATTGTAGTTCAAAGGCTTTGCAAATGGCGGTTTCATTCTCCAGAGTGCTTTCTGTTTGATGCAATAATACATTATCTCTAATTAAAACACCAACTGTTCAGTAGTTTCTCATGTATTTGTGTTTATTTGTAACTTGCGGTGAATGTCTTTACTTCATTTGAAGATTCTTTTCACTTGCATTCAAAATAACATTCAACTCTGCTTCAGGTTAGCTCTCAGAAATTTCCACACAAAAATAGTTTGAGACCTGTGTGCATGCTTATTCTCCTTCCCACTTCCACACACATTTCCCCATTAACTCCACGTCTGCTATTTCAAAACAGAGTTTCAGTGCAAAGAAGCCAAAAACCAGTTAAAAGTGAGCAGTTAACTGAATTGAAAGATCCCTCGATGCTGGGTTTCCTGGACTACAGTGTGTGTATATGTTTTATCTGGGTTGTGTGCTGCTTTGAAGTGACATGTTGAGCAGGGATTGAACACTCCAATGACACACTTGATGCAAACCCCACTGCTGCTCCTGTGGCTGTAGCCACTGTGATGCATACAGCAGAAAGAAAAAAAGAAAAGAGCACTTGCATAGCACACTTCTTGTCTTTGATTCAAGAAGCCATTCAAACGTAGTTTAAATCCAAATCTGCTGGAATTGAGCAACATTAATTATATATATGTATAAATTTAACAGGAGTTATGATCCTGTGAGGTAATGATTGTTAGCTTCCACATCAGTCCATAGGACCACAGCTGCAAGTTAAAACAAAGCCAAGTTAACCAGGAAAGATAGATTCGGCTGTGGAACTTGGCAGACAGTTTGTTTGTTTGTATTTTATCTGACAGTGATCAGTTAAAATGTTGTTTTTGTCACGCGAATGTAATGCCTGATAATTGTCTGCAGCATCAGCAATTGCTTCTGAGCAGGGACAGTTAATTATCAGGAATGAAGACCAGTTGTTCTGCACCCAAATCCAAAATAGAAGGGATAATCTTTGTAATGAAGTAGGCTTTTTTTTTTTCTTTTTTTTTTTTAATAATTGTGGTTTTGAATAACTTATTCTTAAAAATCAAACAAAATACATCAAGCATGTGAAAAATAAATAGTCAGAAATAGACTTCTGTAGGCTCCTAGTAGGAATCAGAAGTCATGCAGGGAAAAAATGTTTTTTTTACTTTGTCTGATAATGTTCCAGTTGGTGTTTGCAGTTCCAGGTAAGTTATTGTCATACCGTTATATGGCTCCATTTTAGCAAGTTTTAACTTTGAAGAGACAATGGGAAATAGGATTTATGTGCTGTTTTAAGTGAAAACATAATTGAGGGAGAGGAAGCTGTTTGAAACTGGTCGTAGCTGGCGCTTATAAAACCAACATGGCCTTAAACCAAGGTAACTCAGCACTGGATTTCAGAAGATGGTGCCTAACAGTGTGGCTCTGTCTTGTGATGTTAGTTGGGTCTCTTACACTGCCTTTTGGGATGCCTGACATTGTGCTGCGTGGCTGATGTACAGACAATGAGAAACAGTAACCAGTCTTCATCTGTGTATGTCCAGGCCTTTCCAGATGTTCAGCTGTCCAGTCAGCAATGCTGCACAGCTGCTATGACGTGAGACCATATGTCCAGCAGTCTTTGGGAGCTGTGGAGCCCAGCTGAGACCATATGCCCAGCAATCTCTTTGGTCTGCCTGGGTAAAATTTTGGTCAGAGAAAGGCACACATCCAGAAAAAAACAGGTATGTTATAACACTACAATGAGGGGTTAACAACTAATTTTGAGAAAAGACTGATTCTGACAAAGGCTATTGGAGCAGTGAGAGTGAAGCGAAAATTAGTAACTGCTTATTTAATGAGCATCATCCATCCAGTCCATGAGTGGGGTGCCTGTGGAGAAAATGGGATGCAGTTGTGTAACTGATTGTGTCAAAACACATAGGCACAAAGGAGACATGTAAAGATAGTAGAGATGCCTTTTGTTTTGTCACTTGCAGAGCTAAATGTTCAATGTCAAGCAATAGCAAAGCCCCTGCTACAGACCCCAGCTACAGGGGTGAGCATTTATTGCCTCCGGTAGCACCGTGGTGTGAGGTTAAGGGGGAGATGGGCTGAAGGGGGCAGTTGTCCTGCATTCCCTCTGGTATTGCACACAAGTTTGGAACAGTGTGCTAAACAAGGTGTCTTCCTTTGCCTACCATTCACACAGTCACTGTATCTGCCTATGGATATGTTTGTGTGTGTATGATGCTTGAATGATAAAATAGAGACTGTCTTTTGGATCTTGCTCAGCTGTGTGTTGCTTTAGTTCTGGGAGAAAAATTCTTTTCTGACCCCAGATAGGGATCAGCTCAGCTTATGCTCCAAAGAATAGAGATT